TCCTCATCAGGAATGGACTCTTCATATACCCCTGCATTAAAGGCAAATTGCTCATGATTCATGAGTGCCTGAAAAACAACTCTTTTGTAATGTAAACATATCGAGCCAAATGCAAACCTCAGGTAACTCCACTGGCCTGGACAAACCTCCACTGACGCCAGTGTATTGACACCAGGGATGAATGTGGCTCTTTGTGTTGGAATAGCAACTGGAGAAATGTTGGTAACATTTCAAGTTTGAACCTCTTCATGACTATTTTTATTTTATTTGCATGCTTAGAGAGCCCCAGCAAAAAAAAAAAGAAAAGAAAAAGAAAAAAGAAAAGGAGCTCCCTGAAACACAGAAACATGAGGCCACCTGTTTAAATCCATGCTTTGCAGAGGATGTGCCCAGACTTTGGGGAGGGAGAAGTGGGGGAGAGGTAAGGGAAGGTGAACAGGGTTATGTTGTTGTTTTTAACCAAATGCCAGTGGGTAATTTCACCATGAACATTGAAACTTCATTTCCTGTGCTGGTGAGACAATCCCTAGACAAAAACATTTGCACAGGAGAAATGAAAAGAAGTGTTTGAACTGCAAGTGCTGAGAAAGGGGTTGAACTATTTAAATGATGTGGAAATGATTGAATTATTTCTCTAGCCGATGACATCATCTTTTCCTGCTGGAGGGCAGCCCCTTCGCAGCTCGTAGGGTAAGGGACTGGCTGGAGACACAGAACAGAGAGTGGGTCTGTCTAAGTCCCCACCAGCATTGCACCTGGTTGCAGAGAAGGCTGATGTTTGGTTTAACCAGGTAATTAGCGGGACCCAGAAGAGATCACGGTTTCTATCCATGCAGGTCTTGCAGAGCCATTGCCTGAATGATCGAGGCTGCACACTCACGTTGCTGCAGATATTTGTTTAATAGAAAAGGATCCAAGCCAACCATGTGGGTCCAAATGTCCCTAACATTTTAGGAAGCTCATCTGGCCCCAATATTAATAATAGACTAAATCCCCAGACCTCCCCACAACCCAGCATTGGGGGAGTTCAGATATTGATCCAGATCAGAACTTTGCTACCTATCTTTGATTGGTAGGATGAGAGTTATACTGCATAGGAGGCCCCTTCCCTGTAGGGAATTTCTTCCCAGTTCCCACTCCTACAGGCCAGCTGAGCGTGATCGTTATCAGGAGTACATGCATGCTGCTGCACTGTCCAGGCTGACGTATCTGTTTCCTGACCCTCTTGCCTACCCCTTGTGAGAGAGCAGTATTCCCACCTGGTTCACACTGCAGGGGGACATTAGATAGGAAACTGGGGATTTGCAAGCCCGGTTAAAACAAGGGGGCACCCTATGAGATCACAGGAGATAAGTGGAGTTTGAGTGGCACACAGTGAATCCAGGAGATGTGTCAGGTTCATATACCATGTGCATGTGTGCCCACTTCTGGAACACCTGGCTAAGAAGTCAGACAATACCGCCCCTGATGCCCTGAGTACAGTTAGACAGTTAGTGTAATTACTCCCACAATCCCCTCTGCTGGCGTGTGATAGGGATTACTGAATCTGTGTGGTCTGGCTGCGGCAGAGTCCTTCTGAAATTTGAAAAGATCCTTCACTTCATTGCTGCCACAAGCCCAGCTATTTCATTTTCCGCTGATCCCCCTGCAACCTCACACTCAGCTGGCCTTCTCTCATTTCCCTCTTCCATAAAAGCTATCATTGGCTAGTGGACAGTGCGCTGGACCAACACTCAGGGGTTCTAGTCCTAGCTCTGCCACTGGCTTACTAGGTGATCTTGGGCAAGTTCCTGCACCTCTCCGTGCCTCAGTTTCCTGTTGCTAAATGGCGATAATGATACTGGCCTCCATTGTAAAGCACTTTGAGAGCTACTGATGGAAAGCACTGTATAAGAGCTAGGTATTATTATTGTTAAGAACAATTTCTCAAAAGAATACCCTGAGCCAGTCCTCTCCAACCTCCTCTTGCCTCCCTGCTTTCACATTATCAACCTCTCCATCTCCACTGGGACTTTCTATGTCTGGCTCAAAACTTCTGCAGTCAACTTACTCCTAAGAATGAGCCTTCTTCACTTGCTAACTACTTCTCTGCTCACTATCTGTAGGAGGCCTTATACCTTCTCCTTACCCTCTCTACTATGGTCTCAAGGCTCCATCTTTGCAGTTCTCTCCTCCAGCTATCTACTCTTTCTGGGATAACTCATTGCTAGGCTCAGCCTCAGTGTCAGAGCCCACCCAGAGCAGAACAGCTCATGCCAGGAGCTTAGCATCAGTCTCTAAATGGTTAACAATTATCAACTCAAAAGTTAGCTCCCTGCCTCTTTAATCTAACTACAGACCAAGAAGTTGACTGCTTAGTTGCAATGTTGAAGCAGAGCCCCACCTGGCTCTACAATTCTGGACTAGTACTGAGGAGCTCCTCACCCAGCCCAGCACTGGACTGTCCTCAGTTTCGAAGCATGCAGGCCTTCTTAACTGGTCTGCTGGTTCCCAATTGGTCAGTGTCACTTCCTGGCCCCCCTAGGCCTCTGAAGGACTAAACCTCGTTGGTAACCCAGCCCAAGTGGCTTTTCCTTAAGCAGGGGGTGCTAGGGTGCCGACAGCTCCAGCGGTGGGCTGAGATGGCTTGATAGATCCTGCTGCATTCAGATATCCCACCAGCTCTGCATCTTTTTGACATGACTCTCTGATATTTATCCTCTGTGTGCTCCTGGGCAACCAGAACTTGTGACTCACAAATGCATCAAATTTCTTTGTCTGGGTACAAAGTTCTCTAGCTCCATTATCACTAACTCCTTAACCCAGTCTTTATCTTTGCTGTCCAACAGCAGAAGTCTTGGGGTCCATTTTTTCCCTTCCCACCACTCCATTGTTGCAATCTGCCATTTCTAGAACAAGGCCAGAATTCATCCTTAACTTCAGTCTGCTCCCTCTGAATCCTTTTACTGGCCTTAAACACATGACTATTGTAGTGCTTTCTTGCACAGCCGCCCTGAACACCAGAGATTTTTCAATGCTGCCGCCAGACCAGGAAACTTCCACATGCCACAATCTTCAGAGAGTCCTCCATCGTGAAACCTCCATCCTCAATCTTCATTTCCAATAAATCCCTGAATCCAACTCAAAATTGTCCTCACAGACTTGCAATATTGCATCTATCAGGGATTGGATCCACCCACTTTCTCCATCTGCCCCCTCTGTACTTCCAACCTCAGCTCCCCTCTGGCCTTGCCCAGGATTTCTATGTGATTGAAGGATGCTCTTTCCAGCATGCTGCCCAGCCACTGTGCAAAGAACGTCCCACTTGTCAAGGAGTAACTTCCTCTCTCTCAACCTTGTTTTAAAGCCTTCCTTTGTGGTACTCTGGATTAAGGATATTAATGGGTACCACAATGAAATGTCCTGTGTATCATCCCCCTGATTTAGAGCTAAGTTAACCTGCAAATGACCCTTTCGAATCCCCCAACCCAGTATCTCCGTGTCTGTGATTTTTCGCCTTCAAATCCCTTTAATTCAATGTGTTGCCTGCTATTGCTGATGATGATCTGGTGTTTTGTGAATGGCCTTGAGAACAGAGAGTAGATTTGCACATGGATTTGGAAGGGCTCCATCCCTTCTGCGATGTGCAGCTAATCTTGACAAACAATCACAGAGAGCGGGTTTCGAAGCCAGAGATAAGACTGTCCGAGCACTTCAAGTAGCTGCATTTTCTCACAAAGAAAGGCTTGTTCTCTTCCCTGAGCCCCTGCTTCCCTGCACCCAGACTTCTGGACAAACTCAAATACCGTCCATGGAGGGTTTTTGCGAATGACACAAAGCAAATGTTCTGCGCTGGGCACTCATGGCGTCCAGCTGTTCAGCCTGTGGGGATGACAGTACATTTACATTCCTGGAAGCGGGGCTGGATGTCTATTCAAAGGAACATATAGCGGGGGCCCCCTTGTGCTCACATTTTTAACTCTTTCACTGCTCTTGCAACTAGAGCATCAAACGCACATCCAGCCCACCAGAGAAGCCTGTTTCCTTGGATAAACCCACCACCACGCAAGTGAGGCTGTTACAAACATGATGAAACTTTGCCCAATGGGTTATGTGGAACTTTAAACCTGCCAGCATCAATTTATGTCTTATACTGCCCGGTGAAACACACCAGACAGCAGCCAGTTGAGGAACCCATGGGAGCACAGTGTCTGGAGGCTATGACACCACGGGGATGTTGGGAGCCAGAACCCGATACAGGACCTCTGGCAGATAGACCTGGTCTCTGATCTTGGTGACCAGCTCCACCCACCCACCCATTCTGCTGGAAGCAAAACACACCTGATTCCCAATGGAGGGAGAACACCAAGGAAACTCTGCGAGCTCAAACTCATGGCCTGCTTCGGTGAGCATAACTTGCGTAAGGGAGAATCTACCCATAAAATCATCTCTACTCTTGCCCTGCCACCCTGATAGGCTTCCTTAGAATACATCTTCCTCTGAGCAGATTCAGGTTGAGATGAGAGAGTTCAAGAGTATGGACTATGCCATGGACATGAGATGAAATACCACCAAGCAGATCGTTTCTTGTCACCTTCACTGTTCTGTCCTTCTGTCTGTATTATGTAATCACTGTGGTAACAGAGCACCTTATTAACATCACTGTAAACTGAGACCCAGACTCCATTGTACCCAGCTCTGTACAAACATATAGTGGGAGGCAGTCCCTGCCCCAAAGAGCTGACTATCTAAATAGATAAGATAAAGTAGGGGAGAAAAACAATGGGGAACTAAGAGATCAAGTGAGCTGCCCAAGTCACACAGGAAGTCAGGGCAGAATCAGGAAGTGAACCCAAGTGTCCTGGGTTCCAGTCAAGCACCGTAACCTCAGGACCACATTTTCACCCTGTCCTACCATCCCTGAGCATTTTGGAGCCATCGGTTTTGCTGCGTTGCCCACCTAGGTAACAACACAACTGAGTACCAAGCCTTCTTTTCTCTTAAAAAGTACCTAACTCTTTGTGAATGCTACCAGAAACAAACCATAAATACTAATACACCTGGCTCTCAGCTCCCTCACCTCCCACTGTAGAGCTGATGTGGACACTCAAATCTGTTGCACTTCCTTGACCCAGGCTCACCATCTGAGTCATACAGAAAATCTCTATTCTTTTGGATCATCAGTTCACATCCTCCCGCAGACTCTCACAAATTCCCAAACTTAGAGTGAAATCCTGAGCACCTTCAACCCCCAAGAAAGTTAATGGCACTAAGACAGTGATTTTTTATATGCAAAACTATACGTGTACATTGCAGGGCAGAGTCATATTTTATTAGACTTTCTACACTGGCTCTCATTGCCCTTAGGCTACATCTGGTAGCTTCTGGCTCTCTGTCTTGGCATCACTGGAAACAGCCCCTCCTCTCAATCTCTGAACAGAGGAGACTGATGGACGGGAGAGAACAAATTGACAGCACCAGCAAGGATATTTAAATTCCTGGGAGCAATAAAGGGGTCAAGAGGGAGGGGAAGGTAGAGAGCACAGTAAAGTAGGACACGGGCAGGAAGAGAGGTCAGGGGAAGGTGAGAGACAGAGTGGCCCTGATGTGGGGCACAAGAGAAAAGCATGGGAGGATGAGTGCATGAGCGGCAAGGGAGAGAAATGATATTTTCTGTTCTTTTCTGCCTTGTCAGGTCAAGCCGGAGAGCTCTCAAAAGGGGGTGTTCACCTTCTACTCTGGTACAGAGAACAGCTGTCCACATCAGAAAACTACCATGTATCATAGCTCACCGCCATGGTCAGCATCTGCCTAGGGAACAGAGTGACCCAGGAATGGAATATCAGAGCGCAGTGGAGGCCAGTGCTGCAGGACAAGACTGAGGAGCAACAGCAGAGCTTCAGGGATGCTCCAGACCTGGAATACCAGGGAGTGTTGCAGGTCAGGAACAAGGAGCATAGGCCCAGCTATGTGAGAGCAGCAGGGAGCTGCAGCTGGTCAGGATTGAAGGGCATTGGTAGAGTTATGTGGCAGCCTCAAACCAGAATAGCAAAGGTCCAAGTATGAGAAGTATTGGCAGAGCTGCACGGGAGCCTAAGAGTGGGCTGGTGGGTGAAGGCCAGCAAGAAGATGCATTGACTAGGGTGTGTGAAAACCCCAGGCAGCAACACCAAAGGCTGCTGTGTGTCAATGCAGATTTGCAGAACACATGACTACCTGAGCTGGAGTGGAACAGCTGGGGGTGCAACGGGATAGGAATGAGGTGCATTGACTGAGCTGTTGGAGGGCCCAGGGCTAGAATGGCACAGGCAGCTTCAGGACAGGAATGAGGAGTATTGAAAAAATGTGTGGGGCCCCTGGACTGGAGGAGCATTTTGCTAGTCCCGGCACAGCATTGGTCTGAGGAAGAACACGATGGCCCAGGCAAATAAATTAACTGCACTGAGACTCTCTCTTCCACCATACGTGCACACAAAACCTTTTACTCAGGTGGGAATGGGAGGTCAGAGGCTGTTGGGTTGTTGACCCATGAATGGAGACAATTATTCAGCTGATGAGGCCATGCAGGTGCTAATTAAAAACCATGCAAGGCACAACCGGTCACTGTTTGGTGTCAGCCACTTGTGAAATTAGCCTGTAGGTGGCTCACCCAACCCTCCATCTGGAGAGAAAAGAGAGAAGAAGAACAGCTTGTTGTAAATCTGTAGTTACATTGACCCATTGCAGCTGGTTGGTCTTTGGTGATTGATTTAACACTTCTGTACCCCTGTGGTATCTTGGTTAATATTTCCGCTTCTCTCCCTCCTTCCCCCATTCCCCACTCCTTCTAATCTTCCTTCTTTGAACAAACCTCAGCTCAGGGAGAGTTAGCCCTTCTATTCACCCACTGCAAGGCCAGCCCTATATATATGGAACAAATCGAAGGACCTACATTTGCTGGGGCCTGTAACCAAATTCTGGGGATAGTGAGCCAGATGCAAAGCAGAAGATATCTCATATACCTCATATGAAGGTATGAAGGTATAAAGTCTTTGGGGACCCTTCCTATGCAAAGCAAGTAGGACACCTTTACTGAAGAGGTGACCTAGGTGGAGTGGAGGATTTAATGAGGATCCTAATATATGAACCTTCTAGTACCTTGGGAAGAGCACCTAGCTTGCTATATAATTCTGCAAAATGTTAAAGTGAATCCATTTAAATAATAGTGGTTAATAGTACCCTGAAACTCAAGGCACCCTGCTTCCAGAAATGGTCTTTGCAGTAATTGAAACTAACCATGTTAAATAAACTTCCCGTGCTCCAAATGGAAAAATCATCATCTTATCCATACACTGAACTGTTCTAGGAATAAGCCAGTTCATAGGATTACAATGGTTAGAGATGGAAAAGACCTTCGAGATCACTGACTCCAACCCTCCACCAGCTCAGAACCTGGTCCCCAGACAGAGGACACTGCAGATGTTAAATTGATACTATCTGATTAGTAAAAAGAAAAGGAGTACTTGTGGCACCTTAGAGACTAACCAATTTATTTGAGCATGAGCTTTCGTGAGCTACAGCTCACTTCATCGGATGCATTCATCGGACGAAGTGAGCTGTAGCTCACGAAAGCTCATGCTCAAATAAATTGGTTAGTCTCTAAGGTGCCACAAGTACTCCTTTTCTTTTTGTGAATACAGACTAACACGGCTGTTACTCTGATACCTGATTACTGTTATTATTAGCTGTCATTGATAATCAAGTTTTGATCTTAAACAAAGGGCCCCAAAATGAGCCCAGGTATTCTTAACCAAAGGACAAAAAGCAGCCTTCACAAAGGAATGCCTGTGAAAAGATGAGGGCCAACAGTCTCAAACTTGTCTGCCCAAAGTTTAGGCAGCTAAGTACAAGTACCCAGATATTGCAGAGCACCTGTAATTCCCATTGGTTTCACCACTTGGACGTGGAGGGATAACAAAGCTCAGTATTTTCTCCACTTAACATCTTTGAGCATAGATTTGGCATCTGGTAGAAGGCAATTGCTGCACAGTTCTACATTAGTGCCATATTAAGGAATCTCTTTAGTCTATCCTTTTCTTTAAAAAAAACCAAAAACCTAGGAAATTCCATTTAGCAAACTGAGTTATTAGTTATTAGTTCACTAGGGCCTTGGTCCTAAACCTGGTTCCATGCTGGTAGAGTCCTGTATCTGTGCAGAGCCAGTTGCATGGTTGCGGCTTAAGGTTGCACAGTTAAGCACCCAAAAGTCAAAAAATGCAATGTTAAGGTTACAAAAGCAATGTTAACTCTCCCCTGTCCTGGATATGCATTAAGGATACAGTCTTTAATTACATCACAAACTGTTTCTCAAAGAATACAGTAAGATCAGGCTTTTTTTCCTAACCCCTTAAGTACACATGTGCAGCATGCTGATATTAATGACCCTCCCATAATGCAGACACACAAGGGGACAGAGATAAGGCTGTGTGTGCAAATGTGACTCTTAACTTTGGCTTTTGAGCACTTAGCCATGCAACTTTAATGGATTTTTGTTTGTTTTAATGCCATTTCTATAGCGCGTCCATCCTACAAGAGCTCCAAGAGCATTTGAAAAGTAGCAAACAGATAAGTATCATCACCTCATCTATTGCCAAGTTATTATATAGGAATCACAAGGCAGCCACGTCAGGGGTGGAACCTGGCAACAGCTTAACAGCTTGCAGCAACATAACAGAGCAGCATGAGTGAAGGTGACTATGGAATCCAGTGTAAACGGCAGTTCAAAAGGACACATTGATTTGTCACATGCATTTCCTCCTCTCTCACAGTCCTGCCCATCGGTATTTTCTTCTGCTGCCAACAGTTTTGTATTAATCTCTGATCTAACTAAAGTCTCCTTTTACCCATAAATATCACCTGTTTGTCCCCATTCTGTGTCTTGGTGCTTCTCTCCCAGAACATTCACACCGGTGTTTTGTCCCCCTGACTGCTGGTGTTTCCAGGCTGCTTCCCACTTTTCCACAGAGAATTAGAAGGATGCATTGTTTGGCTCACTGTCATTTTTCCTTGGCTGGCTCAGCCTATGCCTGGTACAGTGATGCTGAGGGAAGAAATGAAGATGGGTTTATTCTGTATATGTAAATATCCCACAGGCAGCAGGTGAGGCATGGCCAGCCTTTGGCTGTACTACTTGTTTGTTATATGACACTATTGCATCCGTCACCACTGGTTTTGGAATCTCACAGGCTCACCTTTCCAGTAACATGGAGTGACCTCTGCTGGACGGCAGGGGTGTTGTTGTCCAGCCAGTGTCCATCCTTGATCTACATATTAAAGGCTTCAGGGAAAGAGTTTCTGTGTGCATAAGAGATGAGTTCCTCTGGTCTCCCTACCCATCCTCTCCCTAGCCACCCCCAGGAAAGTTACTCTGCTTGAATGGATCACATTGCCAACAGCACACACAGCTGGGAAAGCTACAAGTAACACAGGGTTTCATAGATTGTATTATTGTGCAGTAAGCAGCTCAGTGTTTGGACAATGATCCACGCAGATTGGATTTCAGGGAGGTTAGCCCACGGTCCCTGACAAGTCTCACATGAGGACAGTGGGTTCAGGAAACAGAAAGGGTTGGTGAAATGAATGTATTCCTGCAAAGCACAGGACAGAGACAGGAACAGTAGGGTGCTTGGAAAAAAATGATAGAAACCCTCCCATGGGAAAATGTACTTGGTTGCATGATGTTTATTGGTGCTGAGATGAATTTAGAATATTTCATCCATCTCACCTGGAGCATCAATCATAGAGTCTGTTTTATCCTATTCAGGTTCATACGCCACACCCCTCACGATGGTATCTGAGCACCTTTGAGAATAAGCAAGGAGACTAGAATAATTGAGTTGTTAGTTGCCGGTTCCTATCAAAAGTTGTGGGTTTACACCTAGCAAGCTATAAAAATGGGTGTAACCTGTTTCAAAACTCAGCTGCCTACCCCCTCTTAAAAGTTCAAAATCCAGATTTATGCCACACTTGGTTACCATGATTTGGAGGGTCATCTCCCACCCTCAGCCCTGTGGTCCACGGCCACAGGAATCTGCCAACTGTAGCACGAAAATCAGGGGCAACATAGAAACACCATAAACTATCCAGGCACCACCAGAGATGTGGAGATGCACCTGCCACATTGGTATATATATGGGGGGGGGAGGAGTGTGTGTGAAGGGGATGTGGAAAAAGCAATGGGCCAGCTTTGGGACTGAAACTGAAGTCAGTTGAACTGTTTCTCTTTTCTTCCCCTAGCCACGGGCGATTGCTTTCTTCTAAATGATTATTGCTGATGAAAAACTGCCATGATTTGCCATTGGAGGCCAGCACGGGAACTTAGCTCATTGCTGGCATTGCTCAGATGGTTCCTCACCTCGCCAGGAGTGAAGAGCTGAGACCCCATAAAGGGCCTTTCATTCTGGCCAATGGCTCTCCTCCCCGCCCCCCATCCACCCTCTTCTTTTTCTTCAGGTGACTCTCCAGGAGGGATGGGTCCCTGAGAGAACCATGGGCAGCTGGGATTTCCAGCTCCTGAAGGGCCTGCTCCAAAAAGGATTTGAGCTGGAGAGTGAAAGGGACACTTCTATAACGCCCCCATCCCCTAAACTTCCTCCCCATCCCCCCAACTCCCATCCCTGCTTTTGTCTCCTTCTCTCCTGTCCCTCCCTCTCTGCCCACCTACTGCATCTTTCTCTCCCCTCCCTGCTTCTCTCCCCCTTTTTTTTAACCTCTTGTGTGATGCTGCCCGGTGGGGGGGCTCGCTCCCTCTCTGGCTGGGGGGAGCATTCCAAGGGCCTGGAGGAGGGGATGGGTGGAAGATTATGCTAATCCAGGGAGATGGACCCGCCTTTCCCCCTGCCCTCGTGGAGCTGGGGCTGGTGAGGAGACAGCAGCAGGGGAACGGCAAGTAGGGTACAAAAGAGAGCCAGGGAGAGGTGGAGCGGACAGCAGCGGCAGCCTCTGCCTCTCCAGCGGGCAGAGGGACAGAGGCGCTCTCCTTCACCTTTGCTGCCCTCACCCTGTCTATTTATAGGATTTCCTACTCCCCCACCCCCCTGGAGAGGGTAAGAAAACCCGTCCTTGCAGCTTCCCCCTGCGCTGCCGGATCCTCTGCATTTCCCAAGCCGAGCAGCAGAGCCTCGCATCGGATCCTCAGTGGCAAGGAGGAGAAAAGGTTACAGAGCTAGCTGCCGAGCTCCCCCGCTCTCTCCCTCCTCGGATGGGCGGAAAGAACATGAGCAGGACAAGTGGAAACTCTCTCTTCTGGGTTTTCTCCTACCTCTGCCTGGGGACGTTGGTTTCCCCGACCGATGCCAAAGGGACCTATTACCACCACCCCGCCCCTGTCTCTTACAGTAACCGATACAATCTTTATACCTCAGGATCTAGCCCGCAGCTGAGCCCCGGGAAGCCCATGGGGAAGCACAAGTAAGTGTGGCTCCTCGCTGTCTCCTCTTCCTTTTCAGCTCTGTCTCTTTCCCCGTTGAATTGACTAGAGAACGCAGGCTGCTCGATTTCACGGCTGATCCGCTTCATGGGGGGGGGGGGGGGGGGCAGTGTGGAAGCGAAGGCAATGGAAAGGAAATCGGAGCTAGATTCAGTACATTCGCTCCAAGGTGTCTGAGCTGGGCGCCCAGTTACCGAACCGGAGCGGCGGGTGGGAAGCGCATGTATTTCTGTATTGAATCTGTAATGCTCAGGCAGAAAGGCGGGGCGGGGTGGGGAGAGGGGAACGGGATTAAAAATGTAACTCCCCTCCTCCCCTCTCCTTCATTTGCTCCAGAGCTCTCTCTCCCCGTGAAAAAAGGACCGATGTGGGGTTATGGCAGAACTCAGACGAATAAAGAAATTATTGGAAAGGAGAGGTCGATGCTGGAGGTGCCAGCCAGAGGTTCCCAAAACCCCGGTAACTTTTCCCAGCTGCCGCTGTTAAAAGCTCAGGCTGAAGCTCTAACGCTGCTAGCCACAGGTGGCTACCAGGGATAGAGCCAGCATAGTCCTCACCGTGTACCGCGCTAGCTACTGGCCAGCAATTTGTACCATCGGTGGCTGCCTGCCTTGGCTCCTAGCGGCAGTGAGGCGGGGTTTGCCACGTGCTTCTGGGGCTGAGGGGTAGAAAGGGCGGTCAGTCAGCCGGTCTCCCCAGCTTCCTTTCCTAGGGCACCCGCCTCCTGCGAGAGCCGGAACTGGAGGCTAGCGAGGGGCTCTTTGGGAGACTTGCGTGCCTTAGCGGTCATCTCCAGAGCGTCTCTTGCGCTGGCAGCGCTCCATGGACTCTTTGGCTTGCCATGTCCCCCCAGTGCTGCTCTCTCTCTCCTTCCCCCAGCCCCTCCTATTTATAATACCCTCTGTCCCATTAGCTGCTGCAGCCCATTGGCATCCACTGGTGGGAAATGTCTCCAGCCCCAAGCCAGAATGGGCCAGTGTTGTGCGCTAACCCAATGCCATCCCTCCCTGGCACCCCACCCTGCACCCCGTGCCCTGTCCTTCCAGAGGGGGGGCCATACAGAGGAGGAAGATGCTTTGCTTCTGCTACTCAGGCTCTGTATAGTGGGGCTACTCGGCAGCGGAGTTGGGGAGCCAATATCAACTTCTCCCTAGACACATGCTCAGCCCCCCTCCCCATCCTCTCTCTCTTTCCGCACCAGCCTGCCCACCTATTGAGTCCTGGGAAGGGTTGAATTGCAGAGAAGGACAATTCTCTGGGGGAGTTCTCTGGCCTGTGCTATGCAGGAGGTCAGCCTAGCTGGTCACACTGGTCCCTCTGGCTTCAAAATCCATGAAAACTCAACCTTGATCCATTCAATGGGAGAGCTGGATTGTCTCTTCCCTTCATTTTCTAGGGAGCTCAGAGCATGGCTTGTGCTGGGCAGAATCCAAATCCCTAATCTCTTTACTTTGGCATGAGTTTCACACTCATAAAAACAAGGTGCTGATAATACTAACTGTAGCCCAGCACAGTGCAAACAGGGCTGGGGAAGCTACTCACCCCTCTCTAACCAATGCACCAGTCCTGACTGGCTTCCCCCTGTTGTTCCAGACTTGGGCTTCTTCGCTCCAAGCAGACAGCCCCTGCTGTGTTAGCCCTTCTCCTCTCCTAAGTAGACCCTGCCGCTGCTGCCTGAATAATATGATGTTCTGGGATGTGTCTAGAAGGGTGCCTTAAGATTGAGGCTGAGACCCTCAAACTCATTGCACGTGTGACTGAAAGGTGAAGGTCTCCCAGGTCCCAAGGCAGCAGCTCCTCGGGTCCACTACTGGTTTTGGTCAGGGTGCAGGTGGAGGCTGGAGAATTGTAGCCGTTTCCTCACGTGGGGCTGAGCAGCCAAACAACAAAACCATTTCACATTTGAAGAGCTGTCTTTCCCTGTCTCTAGGCAATGTGTCCCAAGCCCCATGAGCTCACTCATCCCCATCTGCTTTATCCCATGGACCCACTGTATGCAACTCAGTGTTTGGCTTTGTCCTTGCACCCTCATCTTCTCCCGCCGTGCCATCTGCTGTGTCCCTGTGCCCTTAATCCTTCTCCTCTCTACACTTCTCTGCTATCTCTGCCCCGCATTCTGAACTTCTCAGCACATCCCCATCTGCTTCTCCCCACCGCCCAGTGGTTTGCTGGAATTGCCTCAGCGTCCCTCTGTTCTAGCACTGCCCCTGTACTCTTCCCCCTGGGCCTGCCTCTGCTGCCCTCAATCCCTCTCTCCAGCACCCAGTTGGATTGTGATGTGCTTGCTGCCCCACTCTGGCTGGCTCACCTCCCGTATCGTCTACACTTGGTTACAGTCTGCACATTAATTGAAAGGGCTCCGTTACTTGGCAGCACATTCCCACCGTGAGAAAAAGAACGTGTCAAAGCAGACTTGCCTAACTGGACATCCAAGGCAGAAGCAACCTGGGTACTTTTTGATTCACCCAGCGGCTTGCTCAGTGCAAGCATTGTGCCTACAGGCGGAGGCCTAGGAATCCTACCTTTTTGCAGTCACCAGCCAGTCCAACTCGCATTTGTGAGAACTCCTAGCATGAGCTATTCAGGAAGCTCCCTCTTTTTCCTACTGTCAACAGCCATGCTGCACTCCACTGGAACAAGCTGCCCAGTAAGTGTTCCCATCACTAACTTGGGTATAAGGCAGGTAGTAGGTCCCCCCGCCCGCCAGCCTGTGATCCTGTATTCACTGGACATGGAACCAAGTGTAACCCACGTTAGATGTTACTAAGACCCTATCTCCACCATAGGAACGACCATGGTGAAGGACCTGGTTGCAATACAGTTGTTCCCCAGCAAAGCAAAGAGGTGAATTAGCCTGGCAACGTAGGTGGGATGAACTATGGTTGAATCCTGTTCTCAAGCCATGCTAAAGCTTTGGACATTGACAGAGCTGTGGGGAACATGGTTCAGTCCTGCCTACACCTCCAGGCAAGGTTTCAGAGCACTGCTGGAACCAGGAGCAGGGGAACCCGAGCTCTGTGCTTATTCTGGCAAATGGCAGATGCTGGCAAAAATCTGAAGCAACCACATGAGGACCTGTGGGACTCACCTCCAACACTGTGAGAGTGGTTTAGCAGACAGAAGGAGCCATTGCTTCAGGAGCCTAGCCATTAAGTGCATGGTGAAGCCAGCAGCCAGGAAGAGTCCTGTGCTCTGGGAGCCTCTCCTGAGAGCTTGGGGAGAAGGAAAGAGCCAGGTGCATAGGGAAGCAGACAGCCTGGATCTGTCTTGCAGCCCAGGGCTCCAACCCTAGAGTGTAAACATACAAAGGAGGCAGAACTGAGCTTCTGCAAGGTTGCTGAGCTCTAAGCCAAAGAGCTGAACCCAGACTTCTCAAGCTTTGCTGGAGAAGTGCAGCTATTTAGCTGCATCCCATTGATCCTGGCGAGAGATACTTGGATGCATTCATGCCCATCTTGTGGGAAATGCTGGTACTGAGATCTCAGACCCTGTCCCAGTGCAGATACATCAGCTGTTGTACTTCCTTAAGTTTGCCTGGGACAGCACTCATGTCGCAGACAGCAGCATGTGGGTGAAGAGCTAAGAGCAATGTACTCCCTTTCTTGGTTGTTGTTCTGGGGGTTGTTATTTCAAGCGAAGGGTGGGGAAAGCCCTTGGTGTGTGGGTCCCATGAGAGAAGGGTATGTGTACAGTGTATTAGGGAGAGGAGAACCAGCCCAAATTTAATCAGAACCCACCTAACCCTGGGGCTTCTCACACATTTGAAAGTGTTTGACTGACTTGCTTTGCCTGTTCTCACTCCCAAGTCACAGCCAGGAAGGGAAGCAGCAGCACCAGAATATAGGGGAAGCAACTAGCCTTGTGGTCTTGCTGACCCAGACAACTAGAAAGCCCTGGAGATCTTGCAAGCTGATCTCCTGAGAAAGCCTGAGCAAAGACATTCAGGCACAATGAAATGAGTATCCATTGCCCAATCCTGCCAGCCCTGGGCAGATGGAGCTCCCGCAAGCTCAGGTAGAGATCCGCACAGATAGCCCCCAACCATACATCTGAACCACTCCCAGGAGGGGAACAGTGCAGGCATGATCAAGAAAGCTCAGAGTTATGTACCTTGCTGTCAAGCCTCAGGGCTTGCGCTGAAGGAGCTCCTCATGGCCTGGGACCCAACATGTCCATCATTACCATATAGTACAGCTCCTCATTGAAGCCCCAGTGGTTTACATGTGTCCTAGGGCACCATGAGGCAGGCCCTCTGTCACCATGCTTGCATGGCATGATATAAACCTGAGTGGTCACAAAGATGCTTCAGGTTAACAAATGCAGAGGCCGAGCACAACACGGGATCCAGGCTGGGGCATCCAGGTGACATTCATCTATCCCTGTTCCTTCCCAGGAGACCCCCTCCACTCTGAGCTCTCTTGCTGTGACTTTTCCAGGTCAGTGGTGTTAGCTAATTCATTATTCCAAGTGAATGAACAGGTGGAGGGAGCCCCCTAGCAGCCTAACCCTAGTAGAGACCTTAGTAGCAAATGCTAACCAGGTGCAGGTAAACTCTGGACTGGAGGGTTTTTTGAGTCTCTCCCTTGGAAATGGACTTTGGTAGCAATGCCCCGTTCTCCTTCCCTTTTCAGGGATTCCTAGCTGCTGTTTCTGGGCAGTGGCTTGACTGTGTTCTGCTTTGTTTCCACTGCAGGAGCTACTGTGCGTATGTGGTGCAGAGAAATGTGACATGCACCCTGCAGGATGGGGTGGAGAGCTACGTGAAGGCAGAGTATCACAAGTGCAGCTGGGGGCCCAAGTGCCCTGGGAAAGTCCTGTGAGTACATGTTGGACATAGCCATGGGAGTGGCATGGTGGGATCCCATGGTCATTTAGACTGAACACTAGCCCTAGTGTAACACATACGCAATACAAGTGTGCTGCTTTCATGCCACTGTCCCAGGGCTCGGCCACATGCATCCTGCATGGATGAAGCTTATCTGGCTTTCTGCATACGCTAATGATGGGGAGGCAATGGGTTTGTGGGTGTAGTGGAAATTGCATCAGAAAAAGACGTTCCGTGGATGGGGTACGAGCTGGGGCTGCTCGTCCCCAGAAGCTCAAAGCATTGACCTTTCAGTTTGAGTATTAATACCCTCATTTGACAGATGGGAAACCATAGTATAGGGAGGTGAAGCAACATGCCCAGAATCACACAGTCAATCAGTGGTGAAATCATTTACAGACCCCTGTATACAGTGTTCATTTCTGGCCAGCCTATCTCAAAATATACAGCAGCAACAGAAGGCAGTTCAGAGACAGGCAGAGAGAGCCAGTAGACTTCTGAATGAGGAGAGACTGGAAGGATGGGGATGGTTTAGTTTAGAGAGATAACTGAGTGGACATGTTAGAAGTACACAAAATATAGAATGATACAGAAATGATAAATCATAATAATACCCAGCTCGTATACAGCACTTTTCATCCATAGATCTCAAAACACTATACAGAGGAGATTGGTTCATTTTACAAATGGGAAAACTGAGGTACCGAGAGGAGACATGCCTTGTCTAAGGACAGCAACCAAGCCAGGAACAGAACCCAAGTCTTCCGAGTCCTAGGCCAGCATGCCAACCACCTTTTCACCTAGTCCATCCCACCTTTTCCTAGGAGCATCCTATTTACTATTTCACGCACAGAGAACAGCTAGCAGAACAGAAAAGCAAGGCATTCAAAACCAGTCAAAGGATATACTTTTCTTTGCAATGCATTACAAATCTGTGGCACTCATTGCCACAAGGCACCACTAAAGTCAGGAACCTAGCAAGACTCAGAAAAGGATTAGACATTTTTATGGATAGTAAAGTCAATCATAGTTGCATTAGATAAGGTATACTGACCTTCATGCTTCAGGGCATAAGCCAACCACTACCTGCCTGGGGTAGGAAGAAACCTCCCCTTGGGAAGGACATGCCAAAACTCTCCACTGCAAGGTCTGGGGGTGGGGAGATTCCACCTACCTCTGAGGCAGCTGCTGTTGGTCACTGGAGGAGACAGGATACTGGACTGCTACTAGGTGGATCCATTGGGCTGACCTGGTTTGGCAGTTAGTGTGCTCCTCTGTCTCCAAAGCCCCTGAGGTAACCACTGGACACTGATGCCATTGCCTGAGGCTCTCTGGTCTCATTTCCTAGAGCTGTCTCTGAGTGACTCAAGGAACAGAGGGGGGGGCAGCACAGACCCCATCCTTTTGACCCAGGAGCACTAGCCAGGACTCCCTCTGGAGCCCATTACTTCTGCTCCTTAAGCAGCCTGAGGGAATGCAACGGGAGGAGCTCACTGCACTATGACCTAGAAGTGAACCCGTGTCTCCTTGGCGACAGCACCCATCCTAGTGCACTAACCACTAGGTCCCTGGGCCATCTAGACTCATGGGGCAAGACAAACGTGCCCAGTGGGTTTTCCCTTTCCTTCCCCCATGGTGCTGCTCCCATGGAGGGAGCCGGTCCCTTGCCCAGGCATTAGACTGCTTTGAAGAGCAAACAGACTATTTCTGAAAGCAGACACCCTTAGTTTTTTTATTTCCTTTTTATTTTATTTTTTGGGGGGAGGGGTGCCATTTAAACCCAAACGCTCCCCCAGAGAGAGAAAGGACAGGTGCCCTGATGCCCCAGACCTACCACCACTCTGCTCCCACTGCGGAGATAAGGGGCAGGAGAGAGTTGTGTGGCAGAAGGATCACTCAAGACCTCTGTCCCACTTAGGGAGCAGAAGGGCAGCCTCTGATCCTGCCCAGTCCCTGCAGTCTGGAGAAAACCTGTAGTGGGTTTGCAGTTTGGAGACACCCCCCCACACACACACCAGCACATCTCCCACCCTTCTTTCCGACCAAACCTGCTCTCTCTTCCCATCTCCCACCAAGAGGATGAATGGATGAGGCCCACCTGTGGTGTGATGGTCTCCAGTGAGTCATGCACTATTGCTACCCACAGGCCCTCATGCAGTAGCCCCATCCCACCAAACTGCAGCAGGAATTAAATCAAGTTTCTGTCCCATTCGTGGAGTAAGGCAGCCCAACGCAGCTGTATCCACAGTGTCAAGATTGGATGAACTCACATGCTTTATGGAGGTGGCCTAATAGGTTCCCCCTCCATGAGCACCTGCCTCAATTCATCTGGCAAGGATTCTAAACAACCTCACTGTAATGGCTGGGGGAGAGCTAGCTGCGGGGCGGGGGTCAGCAGAAAATTCCAATAAAAATTAATGTTGGTTTTGCCAACTTTTTTAATGAAAATTTACAGAAACATTTCAATTTGGAACATCTGCCAGAGTGCCTCCTGCTTCCATTCTCTTCTAGGAGGTGGCTCTCTCTTCTTTCTACATCTCCCATGATACACCATGGTGAAGAGGAGGCAGAGCATCATGGGACTCCCTGGTCATAGTGCATCCTGGGAGTTGTAGTCTGGGAGGGGAACTTCCTAGAGAAGAATGGGCAACTGATCTACAACTCTCCTGAGGTACTGGAGCAGCATATTTTGGTTGTCAGGAGTTAGTTGTTGGCTTTTTATCTGGTTTTTGGTTTTTTGAGGATAAGTCCAATATTTCTGTGGAAAAGACACAATTTTGGTGAACACTTTCATTTTGTCAATAATCCAATTTGATTGAAAAAATTTGATCAGCCCAAGTCCAGGGTTCAAATGCAGGGGGGGAGAAGGTGTAGACCATGGAAAGGGAGCCTGCCGGTCTCCTGTACCAGGAAAGTATTTTTAAACTCCCTGCCATTTAGTAATGGTCCAAGGGAAAACCCCGGCTGTTCAGCAAACCTAGGGCTGGAATAAGACGATTTCCTTTCTGCTTCGCTAGTATCTGCATCCAAGAAGCTAAGGATTTGTATGGACATTAATTTGGCCTCTCACTGCCTGATACCTAAGCAGGATTGTGATCCCATCCCCCTCTCACTGATGGGCAAGCTACCCCAGAGAGGTTAAGGATCTGATTATCAGAGCCCCCACATCTCACACTGAAGCCTGGGGAAGCTATGAGTGCTCAGCACCCATGCAAATCAAACCTGAAAAGGTCTTTCACTGAGCTCAGGACATCAGGTGCATGCTGGGTGCCATCAGGTGCCAGGTTTCTCTTGGAAACCTGATTGGCATCTCAGCAGCAGGGCTAAAGCAAAACCCAGGAGCCATGACTCTCAGCCTTTGCTATGCTCACTGGCAGAGAGATTTTGGTAGTGTCACTTGAGTAGGAGGAGAATGAATGAATTCCAGCAAAGCCAGGGAAATCCCCACATTTCCCCCCTCTCTCCCAAATATCATAACCACTAGGAACCTTACAGTTGTCACTATGCTGCATTCTGTAGCTTGCGTGGGACTTCTGTGAGATTGGGGAGAGGGAAAACTCAGACCGTCCTGCTTCCAAAAGGCCCATACTTACCACTTGAGCGAAAGGAGAATCTCTGCTAGCTGATAGTAGTATAGGGCCTATGAAACACCATTTTGAGTCCATCCAGTGGAAAGCAGTAGTGCACACATGAAAGCCTGTTCTTTATATGCATCCATAGTTATTCAAACTCACTCTCAAGCATCTGGGGTTAGCAGGAGTTCACCCAGGGGTGCTGGAAAAATTTTTATAGTGAGAGTGCTGAGACCCATTGACCTAAACTGTAAACCCTGTATTTAATGGAAACCACTTCAAGCCAGGGGTTGCTGCAGCAACCCCTGCACCCCTAGTTCCAGCACCCATGAGTTCACCTCACTTGGACACGGGTGTAAAAGCTCCTCCTAGCTGACACCGTGCTGCACAATGACACTCACAGCACCATTGCAGCAGTGGGGCTAGAACCGAGCTTTAAAAGCTCAGCCTGGCCTCCGCCACTTGAGCTAAGGAGGGTCTCGCTTGTCCTGGCACAGGATCTATGACAAAGTTGCACTGCTCGAATGCTCCCTACTAGAGGGCAGCAGTGCACAGAGTGTATCTGCTAGCTAGCCAGTTGGCAACCAGCCCCACTGAACATTGCCCTGCTCCCGCTCCCTGGCCCGTTGCATCTCTTCAAACACACACACGGTGAACCCATAGCATTTGCTGAAAGAGGCCGCATTGGCCAGCTGCACTTTTTACAGCGCTTGGAATGCTGCACACAAGAGAGGCAGTTTTTCCAGGCCCTGTTGATCCAGCTGCAATAAATACTTCCTGTTGCTGGCATTCAGGGAGTTGGGGGGTGGGTTCTTAATTGCAGAAGGGCAGCTTCTTAATTGCAGAAGGGCAGCGTGTTCCTCAGCGTGAGTGGTGCCAGAGGGCAGCGCGGCAAGGCTGGGAGCACCTCGTGCGCCAGACGCCTTGCTCGCCCCATCCCGACTTCTACTTACAACCCCCCTGCCTCTGCCAAGAGCGACAGGCTGCAGCCCAAACGTCTGCACAGAGCCAAGGTGATGGCTTGTGCCAATGTTATTATTGACAGTGGCTGAGCTCGGCGGCTTTTACTGTGCACCACGATATTTCCGGGCAGGTTTAAACACTCTATAAAAAATACCATAGGAACCTGGAGGCTTCTGGACGGAGGAACAATAAAAAGCAAGCTGGTTTTTCCAGCCCCTGCTCCCCCTTTCTGACCCACGCTTCTGTTGCCAATTGAACAAACAGCAGCTCACGGCAGGTTCCTGCACAGCGTGGCATTCCGTGCAGGCTGGCCAAAAAGAGGCTGGAGGAACCGGCCGCTGAGCAAAACCCTTCCCAGTGGCCAGGGACTCACCGGAAAACAACCAGAACAAGCCCTCCTTTCCCAAGCACATTGAAAGCAGCTGAGCTAGAGCAGCCCTGTGACCGTAGCCCTATGATGCTCTCCCTTTGGAGAAGGGTGCAGGGTTCTGAGTGTGTACTTGGCCATGTACGTATAAATCAGTGCCAGTATACATCCACCTGTGTACGTACTAGGGTATGTATGCAGCTTATACACCCACATCCAAGTGAATACAGCAGGGGTGCAGGAGATGTGCACATGCATCCAAGGCTGTGCATGTCAGTTCATGCCTTGCACCTCACTTAGCCATTCATGTCAGCATCCCTTGTATCAGTGCATGTCTGCGTTTGTGTGCATTAGAACAACATAAGGTGCTCCCCAATGGGCGAAGACCCTGCCTTTGTGCTTGACATCCGGGTAGCATATTCCCCACACCATGCAGTAATGCACATGCAGAGTTCTTGCAAGGTGGATGGAAAGCTGAGAGGCCCAGCTCAATAAATGTTTGAGAGAGTTGAACATTTTCAGTGTCGCAGTTTCCACTTGAAAATGCTGTCTGCAAAATCAAAATGGTTCATAGGAATGTTGATTTCAACTAAGCTTAACCAAAAAAAAACTATTTCAGTCAAAATGGAGTATTTTGTTTTATCTTGCTCAGTTTTTCTTGTTTTGACTTAATTTTGTTGACATTTATATTAATATGATTATATTGCTACATATAATATAAATATATTAGGTTTCAAGGGTGGCAAAGTGTTTTGTTCTGGTGATTGCAATGTTTCCAAAGTGCAATATATCAGAATTTCCATTCCATGATAAATTTCAACTTTTTGTTCCCACTCGGACCCAAAGGAATTTCAAAATATTAGAATTTCCTGCAGAACAGCAATTCCATTTTCAGAGCAGCTCGAACAGTGGTTCAACTCACTTTGGGAGCAAAGATTCGGGTCTGTTTTCATTTTGTCCCAATTGGTTCCCACATACTCAGTTCACACAAGGTCACTGGAACTCTAGCAGGGATGAGGCCTAGAGAGAAATGGGGAGCGGGGAGGGGGGGCAGTGGCAGCAGGGGTAGTTTACTCCTGTCCTAATGATAGCTGTTGAATTCCCATTTGCGACACCCCTGATAAGCTAGAGTGAGGGGAAGATGAGGTGGGATTAAGGTAGAGGGTGTGCTGTTTGAAACAGGCAGAGGAAGACACTAAACTGGGAGGAGAGGTAGATACGCTGGAGGGTAGGGATAGGATAAAGAGGGCCCTCGACAAATTAGAGGACTGGGCCAAAAAAAGTCTGATGAGGTTCAACAAGGACAAGTGCAGAGTCCTGCACTTAGGACGGAAGAATCCCATGCACCGCTACAGACTAGGGACCGAATGGCTCGGCAGCAGTTCTGCAGAAAAGGACCTAGGGGTTACAGTGGACGAGAAGCTGGATATGAGTCAACAGCGTGCCCTTGTTGCCAAGAAGGCCAATGGCATTTTGGGATGTATAAGTAGGGGTATTGCCAGCAGACCGAGGGACGTGATCGTTCCCCTCTATTCAACATTGGTGAGGTCTCATCTGGAGTACTGTGTCCAGTTTTGGGCCCCACACTACAAGAAGGATGTGGAAAAACTGGAAGGAGTCCAGCGGAGGGCAACAGAAATGATTAGAGGACTGGAACACATGACTTATGAGGAGAGGCTGAGGGAACTGGGATTGTTTAGTCTGCGGAACAGAAGAATGAGGCAGGATTTGATAGCTGCTTTCAACTACCTGAAAGGGGGTTCCAGAGAGGATGGTTCTAGACTATTCTCAGTGGTAGAAGAGGACAGGACAAGGAGTAATGGTCTCAAGTTGCAGTGGGGGAGGTTTAGGTTGGATATTAAGAAAAACTTTTTCACTAGGAGGGTGGTGAAACACTGGAATGCGTTACCTAGGGAGGTGGTGGAATCTCCTTCCTTAGATATTTTTAAGGTCAGGCTTGACAAAGCCCTGGCTGGGATGATTTAGTTGGGAATTGGTCCTGCTTTGAGCAGGGGGTTGGACTAGATGACCTCCTGAGGTCCCTTCCAAACCTGATATTCTATGAAGGATAGTCCAGTTGTTAAATCCCAGCTCTGCATTCTAGGGTTAGCTCTCTGCCCCATTATTAAGGGGCCCTAGGATGTGTCTCTTAAGCCTCTCTCCCACTTTCCCCTTCTGTAAAATGTGGGCAGTAAAATCTGCCGTGCAGGGATATTGTAAAGCTCACTCCATCATTCCCCATTAGTGAAGGACTTTGAGAGTCTTGGGTGGCAGGCAGTGAGTGAGGTGCAGAGGGTTATAACAACAACATCCACCCAACCCACAATGCTTCCCACAAGGGAAAATACAGATATTGGGCACTGCTGCCCTCTATTGCTTAAGATCAGTAATTTTAGAGCAAATACGGCAAGGGGTGGTTTATTGTAATGATGTTCCATTCTAGAAACGTTCTCCAAAATACAGCAGTCTTTCGAAAGGTATTTGACCAGTCCTGAAACATTCCACAGGAGAGATCTCCCTCCCACATGCAATTCTATGGAGTTATTAACAAACAAATGTTGGAAAAGGTTTCTCTTTTAAAATTCTGTAACATGGGAGTCATTTCCACCAATGCCTCGGAGATTTGTCTCTCTCACAGAGGCAGTCATTTACGGTCTATTTGTGCAAGCTTTAGCAAAATGAGGCCCTTTGCAGTTGCCCTCCAGATACTACTGCAATATCTAGGTTTAATAATACAAATTATATTGCTATTGGTCTTTGATTTTCATAAGTGAGAGTCACAGCAAAGAAAAGAAAGAAAGGTGCATAAGCAATCCTTCGCACGTTCTCCCCCTTCCATCCATAGATGTCTTGTCGACCTGATTGTAAGCTCATGGGGGCGGGGAGCTGTGTCTTGCTCTGTTTGCACAGTGCATGGTGCAAGCTCGGTCGGGGCCTGTAGGCAGTTACAGCTGGGCCTAGATCCACACACATGACAGTGTGTGGGCTGGGAAGAGAAATGCCAATAACAGTTACTATTCATCTCCAGCATGCCAAGACAGGTGGCTGATTCAGGCCCCCCTTCTGTTATAAAGTGCTAGAGCTCTAGATTTCAGCTCGTTAACACTGCTCTCCCTTCCTTCCTTCCTCCCTCCCTCATCTCCAAAAAGGTACCGCACCTTCTACAGACCCAAGTACAAGATTGGCTACAAGACAGTGACTGAGCTGGCATGGAGGTGCTGCCCAGGACTCATGGGAGAAGGGTGTCATGACAGCCCTACCGATCAACCAGGCATTCTGCCCCAGCGCCCCAGCCCTAAGATTCCTCCTGGTCACAAGATGTTTCCAGGTCCTAGAGTTCCTCCCCATCCCCAAATCCACCCTGAGCCGTTTCCAGGTCCAAAGAAGAACCACTATGGTGAGTGATGGAGCCCTCCCCGGAGAGCGGCATTGCCTTTGATTTCACACCCACAGGTTATGGTTTCACAGAACCTAATGACACAGTCAGCCCTGTTGTTAGCACTCTCAGTAGAGACAGCCAGGACAGAGGCCTGCTCACGCGCAAGTTAATTACTGCAGTGGCTATATGTCAACATAACTCAAATCGACTTAATTTTGTAGCGTAGACTCATAAGGAAGATTCTCTCCAGCTCAGGCTTGAGCCACAACAACAGGGCAAGTAATGAGGAAACTTACATTACTGCAGTTGCCAGAGCCGTACTGGTCCTTAAATCAGAGAACTTCCCTCACCCAGGCTGTTAAAGCACCTTTCACCTGTGCACAGTGTTGGTTGTAGCTGGACTCCTGCAGCATTTCGTGGGGCTGGGTTTCTCACTCTCACTGAAATATGGATCATTTGGAGACAAAGTCAGAGAATTGTAGGATTCATAGACGTTTATAAGGCAAGTTGGGTTTTAGGGCCAAATTGATGGAAGGTATTTCAACAGGTTCCAGCAGCCCCTTCCAGCTGAGCTAACTTCTGCAGCAGAGTGGCGACAAGGTACCCACGAAAAAGGGGCAGCAGGAACTAATAGAGGGTGTTTTGAAATATACAGTCCCGGCCCTTTAAAAAATTCCTCCCACGTCACAAAAATGGAGCATCTTTGTTATACTAGGGCTCAGCAGAAATCACCCTCCAGGCAGGAAATTCCTTGCAGGGCAGGTAGGACTCCAAAGAGTTGAATCCCAGCCCTTTAGGCAGCAGAGAGGCCCGTCTTACCTTTCCGAGGGCTGGGCCTGAACAGACGCTCCTCTACTTTCTTTGACACAGCCCTGCTTTTCCAAGGCTGCTCCCACCCGCAATGCTAACCATCAGGAGATTTCCCTAGTGCTGGGGGCTTGTCTGCGTTCTAAACATGTGCTCAGGGGGCGGGGGAGGTCATTACTGACCAAGTTGCACAGCTAAGTAAGCATGGAGCAATGTGCCTCCAATTTTCTGGAGACGGGGGGGAAAAGAGGCAAGAGATGGGGCAGGGATTTGGGGTTTGAACAGCCAGGCTTGCTCGCACTTTACCTTGTAGGGAACACAAAGAGAGCTGGTAAATTAGGGCCTGAGTCAAAGCCCACTGAAATTAATGGGAGACGACAGTAGACTTTGCATTAGGCTGCTGCAGAACACACCTAGCTGGAGCATCTGTACGTACAGACATCCTGTAGAGGCTGGGGGCCCCCCTAAAGTGGGTAGCACTGAAAAGGCTCCCGATACCTAGAGTAGCCACACTGTCGGTCTCTGCTTAGGGCAGCAGGAGCCCCATGGAGTGGCAGATACACAATTTTTACAGACATTGTACAGCCAGTTCGCCCTGCGGAGCAAGAGGGTGCAGAGGAAGGAGGCAGTTCTCTAGAGCTACTGGAGGCAAGTGGGATGGGACAGGACCACTGGGCTTTGCAGCCTCATCAGACTGCTCAAGCCACAGTGGCGCCCTTTCCAGCTATCCACAGCCCAACCCGTGGCCAAACGCATACAGACATCACTTCTAATGGGGACTGAACCCATCATCCCCCAAAATACAGGCTTCTACCCCATTCACTATCAGAAAAGAGCAGGGATTATACTTGCTGGATCCAGGTATTAGAGGGAGACATGAAATCAGGCCCAGAGAGCCACAGTCATTACTACACAAAGGGAGCAGAGGAATAGAGACCCTGAGCTATTCACCACCCATCCCCTTGCAGTTATGGCCTGCAGCTGTATAGACATAAGAACACAGGGGGTTTGTCTACACTGCAGTTAAAAACCCATGGCTTCCCCATGCCAGTTGACTCAGGCTCATGAGGCTCAGGCTAAGGGGCTGCTTAATTGCAGTGTAGATGTTGCAGATTGGCTTGGGGACCATGTGAGGTGAGCTGCAACCCAAGCCAGAACATCTACACTCCAATTAAGCTGTCCCTTAGCCTGAGCCAGGTGGCTCAGGCTAGCCACAGGTTTTTAATTGCAGTATAGACATACCCAGGAAGGCCAGATGGGCTGCTTGCCGTGCTAACCATCTGAATACCAGAAGGCTGAATGCAAGCAACAGGACGGGCGGAAGTCAGAATTAAGGCGGAGAAAGCTGTAGTAGTCGTCGTCATCTTCCTCTCTGTTTCTTCTCTGATGTAGGCAGGAAGATACCTGGCATCTTTGGGGACAGGCTGGACCGGCTGGAAGAGGAGGTAAGGCGCCTCTCACAGTCCTACGACAGCCTGCACAATGTGGTGAGCGGGCTGGGGGACCACCTGCGTCTGGCCATCCAAGAGGACACCAACAAGATGATCGGGTCCCTGATGAACAGCCCAAGTGTGCCTGACTCAACGGTGGGCTTTGGGGTCATTCCTGATGGGATTGTGGATGTGGCTGACAAAGCAGACATCGCCACCTATCCACCCGTGGGTGAGATCCTAGCCAAGGTGAGCGAGGTGAGTGATGTGCTGAAGACCAAGACAGATTTGCTCAATGAGGTGCACGGCCTGGTCCTGGACCATGATGGGCAGATCAAACACCTGCTGGAATCAGCTAGGCCATCACCCCTCACCTCCATCGACATGTTGGAGGAGTACATGGACACCCGGCTGAGCAACCTGCGAGCAGAGCTGCTGGATGGCTTTGAGAAGAAGCTGGTGAAAATCCAGAGCACATGTGACTTCAGGATCAAGGAGGTGCAACAGCAGTGTGAGGAGGAGAAAGCTGCCAACTTGCGGCTACAGCAGACCTTGGATGGCAAGGAACTGGAAATCAAGAAGGAGATCTCCCAGCTGGAGACCCAGATCCAAGGGTTGACGGTGGTGGAGAGCTGCTGCGGCAACCTGAACTACCTCACCGAGCGCATGGACATCCTGGAGAAGGGCCTACACAGCATCTCTGAGTCCCAGAAGAACCTGCACTCGCATCTCAATGGTGAGTTCTCCACTGTCACCCTGGGGAGCCTTGTTGAAGGGCGCTTCGAGGACCTGGAGGTGAGGCTCAATGCTACAGAGAGAGAGACTGGCAGCTGCTGCTCCAGCTTGGAGGACAGCATGATGGGCCTTGTGGGGTCAGAGTTGGACGGTGTGAGGACCTCGTTTGAGGACAAAATGAGGACCTTGGAGGACAGGTTCATGACCATTGTGGGGGAGCTGAGCAATGTCAGCACCCCAGCAGGCCTGGATGGAGCCGTGATGCCGTTGCTGGAGGGAGAGCTTGCCAACATGAGGAAGCAGACAGACGAGAGACTGGAGGTGCTGCAGAGCCAGCTCACCACCCTGGAGAACACCTGCTTACTGGGCTGCGCCTCTGCTTCCAAAGATGTGGAGACCTTCCGGACAGAAATTGAGGACTGCCAGAGCAAGAACCAGGATCTGCTGCTCAGAATGGACAGTAACAACGACCTCCTGCGCAAGCTGAACGCCACCATCCTGGAGATCCAGAGGCGGATTGAGGAGGAGGCAGCCGGCTCCCTGCAGGGCGAGATCACCCTGCTCAAGATCAACCTGAATACTGTGAGCAAGTCACTGACAGGGCTCAAGGACTCCGTCTCCCAGTACTCCAACACCGTGCTGCACGTCAACTCTTCACTGGACGAACACGAGCGCAAGATAGAGGACGAGGTGCACTCCATTCAGGAGAAGGTCAGCGACCAAGGCTCGCAGCTCATCTTCAGCAACAAGCGCGTCCTTAACCTGAAAGGCGACCTGGAGAGACTCAAAGCCAGGATTGTGAATGACCTAAGCAACTGCAAGAATGCCGCACATGACCTGCAGAAGGAGGTGGCCCAGTTTGACAGCCGCGTAGCCCAGGTGGAAAAGATGTGCGGCGGGCTCGGTGCCATGACGGGGAGCCTGGACGTCATCCGCGATGAGCTGGAGAAGCACACAGGCAGCCTGTGGGGCTACATGGACCATATGAACGGGACATTGGCCGCCCACTCTCAGGAAATAACTGTGCTGAAGGACAACTTGCTGGATTGCCAGGCCAAAGTGACAGAGCTGGCTGAACAGGTCACCCACTTGCAAGGCGCTTCAGAGGGGAAGCAGCACTAGCTATACTGAAACCCACCTCTCTTTACCCTTGAAGAACAGAACTAACTTATATCACAGACTCTACTGTGGCAATGGGTTTTTTTTTTTTTTTAAATATATATATATATATAAATGGAAAGCTGCTATAATCCCTTCTCCCATTTCTTTAACTTCTTTTTCTTGCCTGAGAAAAGTGAAATCCTACAGCCCAAGTCGACCCTTTGCCATTACGGAACTGGACTGGACTTGACTTCCTTCTGGTCACTTAGCAGCAGTCCTAACAATGTAGCGAGATGCCTGGTCATAGCTGGGTGGTTATGTAGCTATGACCCAGGAATGACAATTCAGGACCAAGCTCAAGGCAGAATCATTTTGGAGGATTGATTACTTCTGAAAGAATAAAACTCTGTATTTGTGAGGCAGGATGGACAAACTCTGTTCCTAAAGGATCACATGCATCTTACCCCCTGGGGCAAAGAGATAGTCAGGGACCTGCCTTTGCAACACCCACAGGGGACATTTGGATTTTAACAGGGAAAATTCCCTCTGTACTTTGGGGAATTTTATTCCCCTTTTCGATACAATGGCTTCCATTCTATTCAGCTGAACCCAGGTTTCTGTCTCACAACTAACGCCTAAGCCAATTTAAAATTAAACGCATTCCCCACCCAGCCGTTTTGACAAGTATCATAGGGGGATATGCATTAAGACAACATATGTCTATACACAAGCCTCTTCCTTCCTGCCTACTCCAGAGTGCAATGCCTTTGTTCAGCTTCCTCCATCTTACCAGTTGTGCTATGGAGCATACAGTGTGCCCTGTTAGAGATTCAACTATTTTAAGCGTGGCATTTTGTGGGAGAGCATTTTAGGACTGTATTGGGCCTGAATTTAATAAGAACAATGGGTGCTGGGGGTCCTGTGTGTTTGCAGATCAAGGACTGCAAATTGGACACAACCCTTTGCTTGTTGCCTAAGTAACATTGGAACCTAGGTCTCCAAAGATGAAAAGCCAGGGTATTAAGCCATGATGCCCCCCCAGCCCTGGGGAGTGAGTTAAGCAATAATGCGGCAGTAGATATGTGCAGGTGCTCTTGTCCCATAAATGGCTTTACTGCCCAAGATGCTCCAGGTCTAGATTTGGAGAAATAGGATTTGTGTATTCCCAGACTGCACAGGGCAATGGGTGTGCATGTTCACTATCCCATGGTCACGCAGACAGGAGTGGGCAACTGGAATCACATCCACTTCACATACCACAGGACCCCTGAAAGCCTTCTTGTCTATGTGACTTCCCTAGGGAGGGACTTGCTTTATCAAGAGCAGGCAGGAGGTAAGGTAAGGGGATGTCTCTCACAGTGCCTTTGAAAGCAGAACCCTTCTGGGGGTTGGGTGTATTAATCAAGGGAAGCTCAACTCAGCAGTATCATTTGGGCTTTTGGGAGATCTCCACATTTCACCCAGTTTTCCATCTGGGCTGGATGAGGCACAAAGGGGCTCAGTGAAGTGTCAGATCCCCGAGTGGTTCTGGTGAGCTAGGAATGGGGATTCACCTCACAGTGGAACCAGGAGGTGACAGGGGCCTCTGCTCCCACGTCTGGGCCATTTCACAGCTCTAATTTAATCTCACACTAGGCCTGCTTCAGTTCTTCTCTGCACCAGCTGCCACTGCAGCCCTGGGCCCTGACTTTCCTCACCATCGCTCTCTTCCACTCATTCTCATCCCGTTCTCCTCCTATTACCACATTTCTTCCCTGTAACCCATTGCACCAGAGTGTCAGGCATAGGCTGAAACTGGGCTCTGAAGAATTCGCCCCCTTTGCTCCATTTCCCCATTAAGCACATGGTAGCAGCTTGCCACATAGGATGTTTCCAGCTGTTCTTTCTCATGTGATACAGCTTTAATGCGAGCCCCGGCCTGGGAGGGAAGAGCATTTCCCCTTTAGCTGTCTCAGCCCAGACAAGTAACTTACACAGTGGAAGCATGGAGCAGCACAGATAGCCCTCTACAGCAGTGGTTCTCAATGAGGGGTCTGGGGCCCCCTGGGGGGCCATGAGCAGGTTTCAGGGGGTCTGCTAAGCAGAGCCAGCGTTCGACTCACTGGAGCCCCAGTCAGAAAGCCAAAGTCCCACCATGAGGCTGAACCCTGAACCCCCGACCTGGGGTGAAGCTGAAGCCTGAGCACCTTAGCTTTGCAGGAGACCCTGTAGTATGGGGCCCACATGACCAATTAAGAGGAAGATAAATCTCCTACTATCAAGCTTATCTATAGCCAGCGTGATAGTCTGCATTTTCAAATAGCAAGTGGCTGAGGGGAGCAGCTCCCTGGAGGTCAGAAGGAAAGTAGGATGTTAAAGCTAACACAACTGGGGAGGGGGAATAGTTTCAGATGGGACAGGGGAAGAAGTGGTGGGGAGGCATGTTGCTCTCTCAGAAATGGTGCTATATTTGAACTCTTTTCCGGCCAATCACTTGAAGAGGTCTATGCTTGGACTCTCCAGTTTAAAACTAAGTAACATGGTGTTTAAATGGGCATTTGTTGCTTTTGCAGGAGGAATCTGATTGTATCTGCATCTTTGCTCCCTGTTGGAGGTGTGGGGATTCTGGAGCAGTTGTGAAATCCTATTAAAGTCCATTTTGAATTGGTTTTTTTAAAAACTTTGTACAGTTGTTCAGATGTTAAAGCTGAAAGACTGTTTGTACTAAGAACAAAAAATAAAACTTCTTGCTGAGGTTTCTGGTATCAAATGACTCCCTTACAATTAACAGAGAAGTGCAAGCACAGGGCTTGGCTCACCGAGCAAGGCAGCCAGGATTGAGACACGAGTTATTTTCCAGAACAAGTTGTTTGAGGGGTGGAAGCTGTGTGGAGGGAGGGAGGATTTGCAGCCTTGTTCAGTCCATGCTAGTAAAATTGCTGTAGCAATTGTTACATGTAGAATGTGCTTTAGAAAGAGGTTTTTGCTCACAGGAGCCTGCAGTATTTGGTATTCTCTTGTTTCTATTTATTTCATAATTAGGTGTATGCGAGAGCAGCTTTCAGCTTGGAAGTGGGGGTGGGGAGAGGGAAGCTCATAAGGGACTGACTTTTAAAGTAACTTCAGCCAGGTCTCCCTTGTGACACTAATTATGAATATTTTGTAGAGTGCTGAGCACACTGGGCCTGAGCTTTCTGGAAAGTCTGGATGCAAGGGTAGGCACTGAGCCCTGTGAAAATTCTGGCTTTAAGACCTGAGTTCTGATGCTGTGACTGCTCTCTAGGGACCACAAGGCTCACAAGAACCTGGCTTGCTTGTTTTTTAAATAGGCTTTGTCTACAGTAAGATCTAAACGGACACGAGGGCACCTACTTTGTGCTTAGCTGCTAGCTGCACTAGGATTGAGTTCTGCAGTGGGGCAAAGGCAGGGCATTAAATACATGGTCTCACCTGGCACCTACAGTGGAAAGCTGCAAAACAGCATAAGCTTCCCGCCCTAGAGTTATAGGGATAAGAGCCAATGGGGATTTGAAACCCATTTGGAGGTCAAGCTCCTTCCACGTAGACTAGACAAAGGCACCTAGAACAAGCCACGCTTGCTCTCTACGAGTAAGACAGGAGGCTCCCTTTGAAGAGAGCCATCCCTCAGGTGAGCCACAGTTGGAAAGAGGGTGAAGAAAGCCTGACAGTGCCCAATGCACCTTTTTGGCTGAGGTTAGAGAGCTTCCATCTTCCCACAACCTACATGTGAGGTCAGGACATTTCTGAAGTAGGCTGCAGTATGGCCACAGGTCAGAACTCCTGGGTTCTACTCTCACCTCTGCCAACAACTCACGAGCTGGCCTTAAGCAAGTCACATCTTCTGCCTCAATTTCCCTCTCGGTTAAACAGGAGTCGTGCTGGGAAGGCTCCATTGTGAAAAGCACTTTGAGATCCTCCCACAGAAGCACAAGGTCATAGAGGAGGAGTGGGAGCACCAGTAAGTGGCCTCATCAAATCCAGCAGGCTGTGGATGCAAATCCCCGAAGACCCTTTCTCCCATTAGTGACATCACAAGGGCCAAGAACAACATACCTGTTGAACAAGCCCATAGCTCATTTCATTGAATAAAATCAGCAGCACTTTAAATGGAACCTCAACCCCTTTGGGAGGGACGGCCAGCATCATTCCACAGCTGTACACTGAGGACAAACTGCCACAGAGGCCAAGGGCCAGGTTTTCAAGAGATACTGAAGCACCTAAAGATGTTGATGGGGGATTTTCGAAGGTCTTACAAAGGCGACATAGCTGGGCCCTGTCAGAGAACCAGGAAGAGACCTCTTTACCAGTTTTCAGCTTCCTGGCTGAAGCCCTAGGTAAGCTCAAACTTCCTGGTGAGCTAAAAATTTTACTACCAATTCAGTGGCACCTGTGCTCAGGAGTGATACACAAAACAAGCCAGTAGCAGAAGCTATAGAATGAGACAGACACGCAGGGCTTTAAGGCACTATGTATTAATGCTATTAGTGACCAACTACTTTAATCCTGACAGTCTTCAGCCTCCTAACACAACATTATTGAGCAATTAAACTGCATCTCAGCTGATCCAAGCTCTGAACTCTCACTGGTTGTTGAGTAGATTAGGATGGGGGACCCTCCCCTCAAAAAAGCTACATGGTAGGTAGCCATTAAGACAGTCTGGGGCCATCAGTAAAATTGTAAATAGCAGCAGCCACAGTGAAGACCCACCAGTAGATCAACCCCAAGGGGATCCACCCACCATCCCTAAAACCAACAAGCCATTTCAAACCTATAAGAACCTCAAACATGTATCTGGTATATAGGAAAACACACATCCAATTTCTACTGAACAAACAAGCTTTAAGTCAAAAACTGGATTAACCCCACCACTGCCCCTTGGAGAGGGGTTCACAGTCCAGAAGGTGTCCGGGTTTATTAAATGAAACTCCCTAGCAGCAGCAGCAGAATAGGCAGGAGGCGGCAGTGGCTGCTGTATCGAGGCCTGGCAGGTTGTCCATCCTCACCAGGTCTCCGTTCTCCGGTGAGTCAGGCAAGATCTTCTATGTCAATGAGCGGCAGCGGAGCCCTCCAGTAGGAGAACTGACTGTACTCTGGCCACAGCAAGGCAACATTAACACCCTGGCCTAGCGGGGGGAAGATTAGCTCCACCAGCTCAGTCAGCCGTTCGTACCTACGAGGAAAAGGATAAACATACAGGATTACGAGACCACGTTTCTCCTTCTCAGCCCTCATCCAGGCACATGAGCCACCAAAAGGTGTTCAAGGCACACACTCTACTCCACGGCCAACAGTGCATTGCGACTAGGCCCATTCAGACATGGAGTGCACTAGCTTCTCATGCCATGTATGCTGCACAGGTTCTTGCTCACTGGCAGGCAGTGTGGCCCGCCCACCCACCCCACCAACCTTGCTACCACAACAGCGCCAGTGCCGATAGGAAATCTGGTGGACTAATTCTACAGGAGGCAGCTGAAGACAGAAGGGCCTTTGCCCTAGGGAAAGCCATGTACAGGAAGGAAGGAAAGAAGCCATGTTTTTAGACACAGGCAAAGAAGAGACTGGGGTTCAACCCACTCCTAGGATGCCAACTGTGGAGCCCAACCTTCTCCAAGGCATTTCTCCCCTCCCCGGCCTCAAGCGGCTACCCCTCTAACCCTTCCCCTGTGCAAGAGGAGAGGAACACAGAGCTGGCATTAACTCCTCATTCATCAGGGATCAGGTAGGGCCCCTGCAACCTGCCACAGAATGTTATCGGTATGAGCTTCTTCATATGTGCCATGTAGGAGCCAGACTGCAGTAGCTTCCCCACAGTCCAGGCTAGGCTAGGAAGAGCTGGGGGGCAGGGGGTGGAAGAGAGGGTCAGGAGCAGCCCGGATTGCCAAGGAGGGAGGGGAAGGTGGTGGTAGGGGCAGCCCATGGTATAGAGACAGTACAGTAGGCAAGTAGGCTTACGTGGATTTCTGGCTCTTGGTGAGCTCCCGGATCAGTTCCCCCTTTGGGTTCACCGTGAATATATGAGATGCTGACAACCCCACTTGCTTGTAAGCATCGACATCCTGCCCAAGAAAGACCAACCAGACCAGTTAGAGCCAAGGAAACACTGCCCCCCCACCCTCAGGATTGCCCCCCCTTCCTCCCAGCACGGAGGATGGAACTCACATGGATCCTGTTCCCAAAGGCGGCATGGAAGGGCTGCCCCATGGAGCCGAACAAGTTCCGGATGTCTGTCAAGCAGGCGATTTTGAATATCTCTGGCTTCTTCTCTATCACCTCCCTGCAACATGAGGGGTGGGAGGTCAGGTCAGGAGTCATAGGGCCAGGCTGGTCCAGGACCTAGGACAGCCAGGACTTCATTGCACTCCCTTATTCCAGGATCCCCCAGGCAAAGAGTCAAGGGGCAGCAATTGGCCTATCCTACCATCCTACCGCTCCCCGTACCTTATCTGGAAGGCTGTGACTACACAGGTGATAGAGACATGAAGGATCCCAACCCCCACTCACCATCCCCCCTCCCCCGGGGGAGACTGCCATCAGCCAACCAAAGCAAGTACAGCTGGAGAGGCAAGGTGGGCACCGCACCCTTCCTATTACAGGGGAAGGGGAAGTCCCAGAACAAGGCACACTTCTGCTTAGCAGCACAGTGCCAAACACCACTGGGGGCAAGACTAGAGGAGTCAGATGCTTTCTAAAGCCAGGACCATGCTGCAGACTTTAATGAGTTGCTTGGCATTAAAGCCATTACCAGCATCCTGAGAGGAGTGGCTAAGAGACCCAACCCCAGGCAACAGGCCCCTCTGATGAGGGTAAAGCCTGTTTGTGCAGGGATAGGGCTACACTTGCAGTGAAATGCACGTTTGGGCTCAGGTGCAACGGAGATGGGTGGATTACAGCATCCAAGTCCCATTACACAGGGTGGCAGGGAGAGCATGTGTGTGCAGAGGATATTAAAGCAGAGAGACAGGCTGAACACCCCCAGGGAGATGTTTCGCTGGGAGTTTCAAAGACTTTGAGACCTTCGTCATGCAGCAGAGAGGCTTGCATGGTTCCTGGCACCTGCCCATGAGGGCTTCTACCTGAGCTCTCACACTGCTCCCATCACTGAGGGGCTGCTGGTGCCCCCTCAGCTCCTGGGGGAGCCAGCCTTTCCACAGAATGAAGGCCAAGGAGGAGCCACCAAAATAAAGTCACATGGGTGCCAACCCAAGCGTAGCTGTCCCAGGGGGCAACAGAACATGGCAGGGAAGAGCTACCTGTGAAAGGCTGAGAAGAGGCTGCTTGGGGCCAGCAGGATGGGCCCCTTGGGGAGGGCACAGCCCTGGTCTTTGACCCATTTCAGGTATCCTTTGGTGATGTGTGCCATGCCAATGGCCCTGGATGAGCAGTAGAGGAACTTGTAGCCATTCCTAGAACAGAGAAGGTAGGACTGGGCAGAGGCTTGTCTCTGAGCAAGCTACAGCTTCATTATGTCCCTCGCCACTGCCACAAGGAGGTGGGACCTACATGCTGGGTTTGGAGACTGAACAACCCCAATTCCTGCTCCCTGCACCCCACAACAGGCATGCATAGCCACCACCACCGCATGCACAAGGGACCACTGATTACATCTGGCAATGCTGCTCTCCATGGGCTCGGGTGCTCTGTCCACTCAACATAGGGCTCTTGGGTCCAGGCTCCATAGGAAGAGATTAGTGGGTTCATCCCAAGAGCAGCCACACAGGCAGCAGGTTCTCCTCTC